CAGTCAGGAAGAGTTTGTACTTCCCAGTATGTCTCAGAAAGGTGTTGCTGTTTTAGCCCTTGCTGATCATAGTGGAATTATTCAACCAGTACCAACAAAAATGATGAAAAAAATGCATGGCAGATGACAAATATTTCTGCTTATATATTGCTGTCTTGATGATGTATAGTGTGTGATTAATTTTTTAAAAAATGTGATTACAAAATTAGAAACATCTCATCAAATATATATTCAATTTCCTACACAGTGAATTTTATTTTTCTTCTACATACATGGCAGCTCTTAAGGTTGTATGACAAAGGATTTCATTAAAAGCAGTTTTTGTCTCATAGAAATGTTTGCTGCTTTTCCTGAATTCCTATGAACTGAATATTAGGCTCAGATTTTCAGCTTTGCCCATGTGATGTTTGATGTCCCATTTATCCCACAATTAAATAAAAATTTTGGTGCCTCTCGCGCAGCTGCGTTGGCTCAAATCCTCAAGCGGGAAACAGCAAATGAAAATGAAGAGAACTGCATTGAGATGAAGCTCAGGTTCCAGGTATCCTGAATTTCCAGCATCCAGGTGATCCTGAAATGCTCAGCGAATGTTCCCAGTGTGGAACGTGCTCCATAATCCCTCAATAATCCTGGGAAAAGCTGCCCACAGCGTCCTGGCTGCTGTGGTCAGCTGCAGGGCAGTGGTGTGAAAACAGCAAATACAGCACCCTGTTCCTTGGCTTTTGTGGCTAAATAGCACTGCTGCTCAGATCTGTCTCTAATGCAGCTCCTGCAGTCATTTGCCTGGAATTCAAAGTTTTTTCTATTTTATATAACCTTTTTTTTTTTTTAAATTTTTTTTTTTAGGGCATATTTGACTTTGAGAAAAACCTGAACCTTGCTTCCTTTTCATATTAGGATGTAAAAAAGACACATTTCAGAACAGCATCTGGCTTTTTAAAATAGGTGTTTTTACTCAGATATCTCAATTTGTCTTTATTTATTTATGAAATAGAAAACATGCCTTCAGTTGAAATGCAATCCCATATGTAAACAGCATTTCGCCTTCTAACTTTTTTTTAAACTTGAGATGAGCCTTACCTAAGATCTAAAACAACTGATACTGTTCTTCTGGAATACTGAGAAGCTGGGTTTGGGAGGCTGTTGTTTTTATAATTTGCTTTTGGTTTTTTTTAAAGCCTCATAGCTTAGCCTGATCAATCAGTGGAATAACATTGGCCTGAGGTCTGGATGGAAATTCTGTCTGCACAAGCTGTTCACTGGGCTCCAGTGTAACAGTTACTTGCAGGATTGCTCCAGTGACAATATTTTAATCCAACTTTCCTGGACATTCCTGCTGACATTTCTGGGTTTAGTTGGAATAAAGTACTAAAGCTGTAACCAGAGTTAACAATTCTGTACTACAATATTTCAGTTAAATTGCAGGTTATTAAATAAAGCAAGCCAATTTCTGATCTCACTTAATGTACATTTCCAGTAATTCAGGATCTGATGTCAACAAAAAAAAATGGTTTAGATAGTGCAAAGAAGTAAAGTAATCAGATTATCTTTCAGGAAATGTATAGTGTTTATTTCCAAGTATTTTAACGTGGTACAGAGCTAGAAGGATCTGCAGTTTGCAGGGTGGTGGTTTGGGTCAGATGGACAATGCTTCTAGTGCAGGCTTTGGCTCTTGGCTGGGATGGGCTGGGGGAATTACTCCCTTCTTGCTGGGTGTGCAATTTTCCTGCACTTCCCTGCCCTGTCTCCTTCTCCTCAAGAGCTGTAGCTCCTCTTCTCTGAAATCAGCATCTCCCAGTTCCTGAGTCTCTCCAGGCTCACGTTTGTTCTAGCAGTGATCTCCCAGTGAGAACACACAGCACGAGCACAGCTTGTAATCACATTTGTAAAGAAATTAATTACACACTATACATCATCAAGACAGCAGTATCCAAGCAGAAATATTTTGTCATCTGCCACACATTTTTTTCATTATTTCTGTTGGTATTGGTTGAACAAAGGCTAAAACAGGTTATTATGGGAAAACCCAAGAGCTGGCTTTGTGCCCTGCAGGTTTTTAACCTCCTTTTCCACCAGCTTTTTACCCCGTTCATGGGGCAGATCCCATCTGTTTCAGCACTCCAGTTGGTTTTCTGGGCTTTTCCAGGTGGGCAGGTCAGATTCCAGAGCAGAGCTGGGCCACTTGTGATGCTCTGGTGGTGGCACAGGGAGGCAGAGGAGCAAAGCAGGATTCGCACAAGTCACACATGCAGTCCCTGACATGTGGAATTTGGCTAAGCTGTGTGATTAATCTAATTGTGAACAATCTGGACAAGAGAAATACCTTTGGATAATGCATGCATATCTCCAGAGCTCTAAAGAGGGAGTCCTTAAGCATGGGTGGAACTTGAAGGATAGAGAGCCCCCTTTGTCTCCATGGGCTGTGAACTCCATTCCAAACAGCCCTGTTTTCCTGGTCATGAGCTACATGGAAAGGAGCATTTAACAACAGCTGAATTAACAGTATTATTAACAATTAAAAATAAACAGCTGAGTTGGCTGAGCCTGACTTCCCCAATTCTGGGTCCCTTTGAGGACTCTGCCATTAATGCTGCTGCTGTCTCTGAGCTGGCCGTGTTTGTGCAAACTCCACGCAGTGCTCCCGGTTTGTAAGAGCACCTAGGGGCAGTTCATGGAGGCTGGTGATTCATGGGGAAAAAAACCCCAATGTTATTTGCCAAAAAGCACCCCAGCCAAGCCAGAGGTTTCTTTATCCTGGATTATAGTGACATCAGAGAAAATCCAACAGCTCTAAGCGGGGGTTGAATGGAGAGCAGTCAAGAGCAGTGAAAAGGAAAACCCTTGCATTTTGCTGCTGTTGAGGAGTTTCTGATCAGACCAAGCAGCAGACACAGGGAATCCCCAAACAGACTGGTGCAGGCCAGGAGTTGAGCCAGTAAGTTCAATTTCCCCTGTTTTAAAGCTAGGTGATTTCAGGAAGCTGTGTCACAGGTCCCTGTGCTTCTCCCGTGGGTCACCATGTGTTTGTGTTCACAGGATGAGCTAGGCTGAGCATTTGGCAAATGATACAATTTGTGAATAAAGGTAAAGGCAGGTAAGAGGCAGCAGTGTTGTAACATTGTCCAAATGCATTGATGTGGAATTTTATAATCCACACCATCCTTGGCTTCAGGGTAGTAGTTTAGCTGGGTTCTTCCTGGGCACATCAGTGCAGCTGGGTCTACTTTTAAGGTCTACGCCCTGCCATCATTTGGAGTTTGCCATTGCACTGTGAAAATTCCTACTTCAGATTAGTTTTTACATGTGTAAGTTACATATCAAGAAAAAATAAAACATTGTCTTTAAGAGGCTCAGTGAACAAAAAATACCATCTCAGTGAAAAATGTTTGCTTTAACATTTGTCATCTAAATACTGTGTGGCTGTTAAGGCAGAACACAATTTTTATCAATTCTCTGTTCTAAATATTTTTAATTTTTTTTTCTCCTGAGAAGTGCCATTTATTGAGTTTACTGAAAAATCAGGCCATTCTCAGTTATTTCTTTTTCTAAGCCACACCTTTAGCAGCAGTGTCCTACGGTGTGTTCTGCCAGCAGTTTGCATACATTTGTTGTCCATCCTAAATGAAACTAAGGACAAATATATTTGGAGAGCTAGGTCTCCCCCAGTTCATTCTGTTGTATTTCTACAATAGAATTTGGGCCTTGTTTTCTACTCAGAAGTGCTGTCTTCAGCTTCAGCACAAATTGGTTTACAGTGAAGAATTCACTGACAGGAGAACGTCTGGCGTGTCTAAGCGTGCAGGGATGATCAAAGTGAAAGATGGAGCAGGATGTTCCTCTTGACATTTCAGTCCAAAGGAGCAGAGCCAGTGGCTCCCTCACTTACAAAGATGCCAGTTTTAAGTCTTTCATGAGCTCCTTCTTGGTGTGTGTGTGAGTCTGGGAGAGTTTGGTTTGTGAACACTGGTCCAGTTCAAAGCTGGTCATGCAACACATCCCCGATCCCCTTGGTTACAAAGAACTCAGGGGTTCATACAACCCTAAAAACCATAACTCTCCAAAGAAGGCTGCTCTGTAGCTCTTTGGAGCTCAAATTGTACGCAGATAAATGCTGGAGCAAATCTGAAGGAGTCTGGATACTGGCAGGAAGGGTTCAGCAGACCCTGATGCTGCTGAGTTCAGCTCTCCAGCTGCAGACACAGGGAGGAGTAGAGACCAGATGTGCACAACCCCAGAATTTTCCCCATGAGGGGACCTTGGTGGAGCCCCAGCCCCAGCAGGATTTGAGAATACCTTTGTGAGGTGTTCCCAGAAAAGACTGGCACGAACTTCCACCAGCAGCCAGTGAGAGAAGGGGTGAGAGCAATCTGCTGTTCCTCAGAGAATACAGGGCTTGCTCGGGGGGAATTGCTGCAGGTGGGGCTCGATGGGGAGCTGTGCTAGAGCAGCAGCTGCTGCTTTACAGTGTCCCCAGAGAGTTTGTCCCAGCTGCTCTGGCAAGAGGACTCCAATGCACACTTTGATTATGTATCTTTTTCAAATCACACCCCCTTTCACTGCAGTTTGCTTCAATCTCATGTAACATGATTTTTGTCTTAAATTCCCCGAGTTTCTGCAATAACAAAAATAACAATACAAAAAAAACCCCATACAAACAATAACAAAAGAGTGCATTTTTGGAAGCTATCAGCTTTGAGTGCTGCGTGGAAGAACTTGAGAATGTTAGTTAAAAAGGTTCAAATACTAAATTATGAATGAAACAAACCTCTCTGTGGTTTATGAAATTGCTGTTGGTATATGACTCGAATAGTTTAAGGTGGTAAATGATTCTGCAAGAAACTGTGACTTTTATTCTGGTTGCTGTGTTTAAAAGATAAATATTTATAAAAATTTTATTCCCATTTACAAAACATTTTGTTTTTGTAAGTTCCTATAATATGGTTTTTTATTCTGATGGGTATGGTTCTAGTCACTGATCTGTTCTTTTTTCTGTTTTTCAGTTATACCAGCAGAGTTGTTTCCAACGGACTAAAGGCACAAATTAATAATCCAGAACTGAAAGTCAAAGGATTGGACCCACTCATCAACAATTTAATTGATAAACTTAAGCACTTCAATCAAGTAAGTAATTTTCCAAGATAAAACCATTTTATCATGGAGCTGAAGGTAAAATAGGTGGTACTGCTCATCATATTCCATCTTCCAGGATTATAGGCCTGATGTAGTTGTGGTTCCATTCTCCCAGCTGGGTTGTGAACTCCAGCGAGGCAGAATTCCCTGGAATTTGCTGTTGATGAGCTGTTCTGGAGCCCAGAGCCCCAGTGGGGAACTCCTGCTCCTCTCAGACCCTGGGATACTCCTGGGCTGGAGGACTGGCTGTAACTTCTTTAAAAATTCTTTTATGTTTCTTTTTTCTCTCTCTGATTCTGCTGCTGTGCTTCTTGTGCACTTCTCTTTACTCCTGGATTTCTCAGCTTCTCTGAGCTGAGCTCCTTGGGGATATTCCCTCACGGGGAGTCCTGCTTACCACAGTCCTCTGGGTCAGGACACAAACTCCAAAGCCTGTTGGGATCTTGTTTCTCCTGTTTATTAGGATGTTATCACAAAACTTGGCAGGTCTCTCCAGACTCTCTGCACAAGTTTAATTCACTGCAATCTGGTTCATTTCTTTCTGATGGTACAGAATGGCCTTGTGGCTCACTTTGGCCTTTGAAGACACAAAATGGCCCTGAACTACACAGTTCTTTTATCTTTATACTCATTCTTATCCAATTAACAATAGACATGTGTATTATTTTTCTTAATGACCCAATGACCCATCACCTGTGGGCTGCACTGTGACATTTTCTATCCAATCACCTACTATTACCTAAAAACCTCTAGGAAAAGAACATGAAGAAGAAAGAAGGAAAAGAAACAACATTCTAAATCCTTCATCTTGTTTTATGCTTTCTAAACTGTTTTAAACTCTAAACTTCAACTTTTTCACCCAGTGACTTAAGAAACTCTCTAATCTCCACACTCACACTTTTTGCTTTTTCTATCTAACAGTTGTCTTCATGTGTCACCATGAAAACATGCTCATGAATCTCATGTTATATGAAATTCAGTGTTTTTCTGGATGTCAAAGCTAAGTATCAAGAACAAGTGCACACACTCTGTGTCTCAGACTCCAACACTGTCCTTTGTGCAGCTTCCTGCTCCTCATGAGCTGGATACCAACAGATCAAACCCAAAATGAGCCTGTGAGGGTTTGACAACCAACTTGAAAATGCTGAAATCAGGACAGAGGGTGCTCCAGGATGGATTAACCTCACCCCTGGAAAAACATTTCCTTCCCAGGCCTTTTTCTCCCCCAAAAGCACAGGTAACCTCCAGGTTTGTCAGAGGTGGGACTCAGCTGTGCCTGCCTGTGCCCTCTTTGGGTCCCACAGATGCATTTGGCATTCCTGGTGCTGCTGGCATCCTCCAGAGTGGGGCTCCCTGAGCCTCCTGCCCAAGCACAGCTCGCTCTGAGCCCCAGAGCAGGAGCCAACAGATTTAACAGAGATTGATTTCCATTTACAGCAGGCATGTTTTCCTGTCAGCCTGCAAGAAATGCTTACAGCAGAGGTGTTTGCACGTCAGTCTGCTCGTCACCTTTCACCATTAAAGAGCAATAAAGCCACCCTGGTGGGTGGGGTGGGCAGGAGGAAAATAATCTGCACAGGTACAACTGAGGAGGGATTGCTTAGTCAGGATCTGGGAGGTTGTTAAAGCTGTGGCTGTGACTGGGAGTCAGGAATTCCTCCACTTCCTTCTGAAAAAGTACAATCCTTCCTTACCTCTCATCAACCAATGGTGGTAAATCCATTATCTAAGCTGTAATTAGTGGTTTGTTTTTTTTAAAAAAAAATTATTATGTCTAATATTTTCATGTTCTGAAGGCTGCAGTTTAGGGATTCTTTGTATCACACTGATTCAACTCACCATGGGGGATTACAACAGCCAGTCTGGTGCAGTACTTAATATTACACTGAAATAGGCATTATGTGGTCAGATTGATGAAAAGGATAATTCATTATTTATCTGTCCTTCCATGTTAAAAAGCAGAGTGTTAATTTACTTTATAAATATTAGATATATCCATCTGTGTAATAGTGCTCTATAAACACTGACAATAGGCAATAGTTAGATTAAATCAAAAGTAGTTGTGTATTGGAAATTCTATTTCTTTGTCTGCTGTAGAAGAGTAGAAATCTCCCTGGTCTGAGCTGCATACCAATTTTCTTAAGTTACATACTTTTTAAAAACAGTCTCTAAAAGCACTTTTTAACCATCAGAATAAAATCCAGCTCTTGGCTCTGTCTGTAAGTTGGAAGTGTTGCTTTCTGGTACTTGTAACTGTTTTAGGAGAATATCTTCGTTAACTAAATTTAACTCCCATCAGATTGAGGTGCTTAGCAATAATGGATTCCAAGGGTGAAGGATTAAACAGAATACTGATTATTGCCCTAAGATGGTTTGTTCTTAAGTACTTAGAATAATATAAAATCCTTTGATCATAATTTTAGTAAGATTTCTTTGGAGATCAAAGCATCAAAGAAGTTGCTAAATATCTGAGGCTTTCACATGCAACATCAAACACATGTAGCTGTTTTCTACTTCTTGGATTTTTGTTTCACTTGTGATATTATTGTACAAAAGCCAGTTAAATCAGGAGTTTAAAGTGTCATCAATAGTGTGTGTAGACTGTAGAGGTATAGAGAATTCCATTACTAATTTTATGGACAAATTGAGTTTTTTTGTAAGAATAAATTTTTAAAATGTATTATCATTATTATTATTATTATTAGTAGTAGTAGTAGTAGTAGTAGTAGTAGTAGTAGTATTTTTTAGCCGTGTGTAGGGTGAAATTCAAGCCCTGCTCAAATAATGTGGTATACTATAATATAAATATATATATATAAAATACATATTTTTTAGATAGATAGATAGATAGATAGATAGATAGATAGATAGATAGATAGATAGATAATGTGTGTATCTCCTGAAGCCCTTGACATTTGCAGCACTGTTTGGAGCAGTGGTTGCACACAGGAGCAGTCCCAGAGGAGCAGAGAGCCAGGCAATGCCCACCGTGTGCATCAGGGGTGATTTGGTGTGTCTGGCCCCTGCAACCTCCTTCCACTTAAATAATAATGCTAAATAATATAAAATAATATTGCTAAATACTCAGAAGAAAGCATATCTTTGGATAAGAGAAGTGTGTGAAGAGACTTTTAAAGGAATTCCATTTCTGTCTCAAGAAAAGGAGCTCCTGCCTTGCTGCATCTGTCCCTCAGGGAGCCTGGACCTGTTGCCTTTCCCTCTGCCTGTTTTGCAGAGGTGTTTGAAATGAGAATAACCTGCTGCTGGCTCAGTTTGCTGAGGCTGGGGAGTGCTGTCAGCTCCAGCCACGTTCAAATCAACAGGATTAATTTTCCTAAAAGATTTGCCTTAGCTCAGCGGTTCTTAACGATTTCTGGAGCAAATCAAGTCGCTGCTGTCTGTCACAGTTTCCCTTCCACCTTCTTCTTCCCCTGCTGGAGCCCAGCTCCTCCTCATCCCTGAGCAGCCTCTGCCAGCCCAGCAGGGCTTGGCCACTGAGAGTGGCACTGGCAGAGAATTCCCTCATTCAAATCCCAGCCTGACTGGCTTTGCCCTTCCTTTGTTAGCTCCATATTATAAATAAAATATAGATAATAATAGATTAATAGATAAAAGAACTAATGACTTCATTCACCCTAAATCCTGTGGGTGTGAGCAGAACTCTGCTCCTGTTCCAGCTGGTGCATCCCAGCTCCAGCATGTTACAAATAATCTGTATGCAAGGCATCTTCCATTTCTGCTGTCACTTAGGCTGAAATGCCACTTTGTTTGAGATTATAGCAGCTCCTCATTTTTCTTTTTTCATCTGGGACTTAAATCCTCAGCACATAGTTGTTATTTTTTTTTCTAAAATGATTATGCAAATAGCAGGCTATTTTATATCCACTTGGCAAAGCTGGAAATGAAGTAAAATTTAGAGAATATTATTCAACAATTACTGTTATTTGCAACCCTGACAGATAAGGTGGTTGAAGGGTTTATTGTAGTGGCTGATTCACATATCAATAGAATTACTGAGCTACAATTTATGGTAACTTCAAGTAATGCAAAAGCAGATCAAGTGAAGTCCCAGGTTGGTTTGGAAAAAGTGGCAGAAATAACATCTTTTCCTCCCTCTTTTTTGTGAATAGAACAGGTGTGAACCACAGCTGATGGTAAACACAATAATCACCCATTGGATCTTTTTTGTGCACTACTTCTTAAAATAAAATCACACTTAAATGTTTTAATGTTTTTCTTCAGCCTAATGCTTTTCATAGTTCAAACTAAACTGGTTCTCAGGCCAAGGTTAGAAATCCTCAAGGATCAATTAAACTGAGAAGAAATGAGAATGCTGGGAAAAGTGAAAAAGCTGTGACTGTACCTTTACTAGCAGGGAGGTATCAACATTCTCAAGGGATTATAATACAATAAGCATTATACAGGTTTGACTTATTTGGTTTTTGTCAGCCTAAATCTACTCTTGACAGGTTTTGTCAATCAGTGTGTTTTGCTCTTGTCAGAGATGAATGCTTAGGGCATGGCTGTAGTTCAAGACAGAGCAATAACCTAGTGCAGAAAATGAGAGTAATGTCAAAGCAAATCTTCCTGAATGTGGACCCATGTGTTTTATTTTTTTTCTCTGCCAAAGTCTCCTGGATCTGCCAGCTGAACTAAGAAATGCATGTAACTTAATTCCTTTCAGACTTCTGTACAGAGGATTCTGTTAGAGCAGAGTTCAAAGCAACAGTACTGAGATGTTTCATTCCAATAGTATGAGCCAGCCATAATTTAATCTTGAAAGTGAATTTAATTGAGTTGTACAATAGGGAATAATACAATAAATAATTTAAGTAGTACTTAATTTAAAAGTGTGTATTTTTTTAGACATCTATAAAATTTATTACGTTGTAGAGTTTTTATATGAGATATGAGTGGAGACAAGTTGGTTTGATTTTTAGCCAGAGTTGTAGCTGACTTGGACTAGGATTCAGAATTTTCTGTTCTTCGTT